TATTAGCACAGTCTATACCTCAAACAGTCCCGTGGAATATGATATTTGCAGATGATATTGTGATACTTGCCGAATCCAAGGATGAAATGAAAGAAAGTTTAGTTAGTTGGATAAATATCCTAGAAAAGCACGGACTAAAAGTAAATAGAGAAAAGACGGAGTATATGGTGATAGGAGGAGATGAAACAGAGAGTATTGATATGAATGAATGGCAGATATCGGCAATTGAAAGCTGCAAATATTTGGGCCCATTATACAAACAAACGGCACAATAGAAAAAGAGATAAAGAGTAAAATTAATCAAGGGTAGTTAAAGTGGGGATCTTTATCTGGAGTGCTATTTGACAAAAGAATCCCACACAAATTAAAGGGAAAATTTACAGTTTCATAGTACAACCAACTATTCTATATAGTTCGGAAACATGGCCAATCAAAGAATCAGACGAGTGAAGTCTACAAACTATGGAGATGAGAAAGCTAAGGATTATTGCTGGGGTAACAAGAAAGGATAAAGTGCGCAGTACAAGAATACTAAGTAGTTTAAAGGTAGTGCCCATTAAGACTAAGTTAATGGTAACCAGACTTAGGTAATATGGGCACACAGTAAGAAGGCCTATGAACTATATAGGAAAAAGGTTGAGAGTTTAGAAGTGATAAGCAAATGTAAAAGAGGAAGGCCAAAACTTCAATGGGGCCATAAAGTTAGAGCCAATATAAAGAAGTATAAATTAGATAAAAGAGATTGTATGAATAACATAAAGTGGAGAGAGATGTCGAAGGAGCTTACCACCGGAAAAGGTGAAAGCTAAAGAGACAAAAAAATTATTTTTAAACATAATTTCTAGTCATTTATTATTTTTAGTCATTCTTTTAGTCATGTTATTAGTAATATTCCCCCACATTCATGCATTTTTTACGTGATACGTGATATAGCCCTTTTGTCCTAAATTATTTAGTTACCTTTTTTATATAACTATAATCTATCATAACCAGTCAATAATAATATTTTCGCAAATACATTATTTAACTTTCAGATGTCAAACATAGATATGATATTAGGATTATTATAATTAATAGATAAATAATTTTAATTATAAAAAATATAGATACTTTATGATATTTAACAATATTTTGTAAAAGAAATTAGCATTATGATTAATAGAAAAAGTGACTATTAAAATAATTACGTAGCTAAAAATAACTTTTTAAGATACAAACATTTGATAAATATTACTTCGTCATTCGTAATACCTTATTTAAATTTTTTAGAAAAATATAATTTTTTATAAAGTTCGATCTTCTGTATTATGCGGGCGTTTTTTAATATTTAATTTCAGACAATTTTGTTTATGCTGTGTGTGTGTCCAAAATATTTTAAAAAAAATCAAATTCACAAAACTTTAGAAACTTTCTTGTAAATAAATAAATGCTATTTTAAATATAAAAATTAAAACATGTCCAAAATGTAAGCTAGAAATATAAAGTTCAAAAATTTAACATAACGGATTCATTAAAATTTTCGAAAGTTTTGAAGATTTTCAAATATTTTTTAAAATGTTTGTGGAAACAGCCTTATGAAATTTTACTTAATTTTTAATTTATGTAAAAATTTTGGCATAAAAATGAATATAAATTAAAAATAGTTCAATATTTCAGGGTAAAATTTCTGAATTTTATAGGGGAGTTACTTTTTAGGGTAGACCGAAGCCATGTGGCAGATAGGTTAAATGGCCCACGTCCATAATTTTTTCATCTTTCGAGTTAATTGTTTAAAATTTGATTAATAGATGTATTTCCATATACATTATCTTCCATATGTTTATATAGTTGTGGGAACCTCACAATTCAAAAGATATTGTCTAAATACATTTTTTTTTCGCACAATTTTTTACGAATCTTTTGTTTGGCACCTTTAATTTTGAGGAATAGGTACTCATTCAAATTATGTAGGAGGCATTTTAATGTGGAAACTGGCGAATAAACGTAGTCCAAGGGTTCCAAGTTTATCTAGAAAAATTTCTACTTCTAAGTTAACTCAAACCCATAGACAAGGGATAACATGACAAATTTATTAAGCAATCATTTTCCAATATTCTACAAAATATTTTGCCTGTGAAATCTATCTTGTGAGAGATCTTTTCATCTTATGTAGGGTCTTTCTAATCCACACCAGGGAACTCATAGTCATGTTTAGAAAATTTAATTTACTAAAAAAATATATTAGCCCATCAACATAAAATATCTTAATCAAGAGTTACATATGTGTCAGATATTTTTAAGATGTTTTGTACTAATATGCGATTTATCGGCTAAATTTAAAATATGGGCTCAAGTAGAGCTGTTTAACAACATTAGAGGCAGAGTATTCGGAGATAGGAGATTAAATTTTTATTGGCTTAGGGGTTATGGGGTTGGGGGGGGGGGGGGGTGTAGAAGTTCATGGTAGGTACCATTTACTTAAGTAGCGCTCTTCGATTGAAATAAGATAAATCTAAAGCCATGCATCTATTAAAAAATTTAGAGAAAAGGCTTCCCAACAATATGACCCGATTGAATTGAAAAGGTTAATGCTAATATTAAGTTAGGGGCCATAAAATCTTATTTTGCTTGTGCATTTATTCCAATTTCGTCATTTTTTCTCTTTCATTTTAAATTTCCTCTTTGTAATTTGATATTTTTTTGCTAATTTTGATTTGAATTTCTCTTCCCCCCCCCCTTGCTAATTTAGATTTTCATCCTTCATCGTTATTTTTTTATTTAGATTTCCTTTTTTTCTTTGCTTTTTTTGAAAATATTTTGAATTCTCTTTTCCTAGAGGTAAAAAGGGGTTTTATAAGAACCGCCGAATTTATTTTCGCCCCGGGCGGCCGAAAGTATCTGCACGACCCTGAAAAAACCTTTTTGAGAATATGTGGATTTGATTATACCAGAATGATTCAGAACTTTGATTACATTCATGTAGGAGAGACCGGGGTAAAATGATTGGTATTTTGCATTTTTACCATAATATTTTGAAACATTAACAAACAGAACAAATTATATATTTATTAGTAGTTAAATTCCTCATCTACAAAATAAAAATATAGTGTAGCTCTCTACCTATACTTTAGGAGCTGTGATTAATTATATGAATTGTGTCATTTTCACCTATAGGGTAAAGTAGGTAAGCATTGAGGTAAAATGGTCAAAATAAAATTGAAAGTAACTATATTGTTTAATTGAACAAAATATTACAATTTTGACAGCCATCCACTTTTAATAATATAAACTAATCAATACAATACCGGAATTTAAAAAATATATTAAAAATAGCACATTCTGAATGTGCCCATTTTAGGCACATCTTGCATTTAAATTATTCTTCCTCTTTGCACCTAGTCATAAAATTTTATTACAAATAACACACAAACAATTTATTAATGTTCCTTTTTGCACAAAAGTATCTTTTTATATGGTGTTGACGTTAATATACAAAAATGATATTTTTTACAGTTTTAATCAGACGGGACATACCGTTTATCCATAGCATCTTTACCCCAAGGTGATAATTATTATATAAATCGTTATTGCGTGACCTCTAGTAAAGCTATAAATTTCCGATAAATTTTATTTTAATACCCTCCTTCCTTCCTTCCTTCCTTCCTTCCTTCCTTCCTTCCTTCCTTCCTTCCTTCCTTATAGCTTTATGGAACATCATATATACAAATTTTTAAATTCTGATCCTTATTATATCTTGCTAAAAGCACAAAAATAACTAGAGAGTGATTTTTATAATTTTTGGGTAAAAGAAAAACGATTTTTTTGGACAAAATATGTCAAACCGGGAAAGTCTTTCAAAAGACGAACATAGGTAAAAAAAAATTATTATATATAAATATATCTTCAACATCAAATTTTAAGTTTTTTATGATCAAGAGGGTAAGCGAAAAATAATTCCCCGGAAAAAAAAATCCTCAATAATAATTCTTAAAAAATTATTCCCCTGAATTATTTTTTTTTAAATTTTAAAATATTTTATTTGATATTTAATCCTTGAATATATTTACAGGGAATTTTTTCTCCTTTTTTTTATTAATTTTGTAATTTTTAATATCTTAAAAAACGGGAATTTTTTTTCTGGGGAGTTATTTTTCTAGATTAGCTCAAGAGTTAAAAAGTTTATTCCCGTTAACCTTGTTACCCCGGTCAATCGCTTTACCCCGGTCTCCCCCTAAAGGATGGAAAAGAAATTTAAAAAAAATAACTGAAAAGTTTTTTATTTACACAATAATTTATGTTATTTTATTATAACTACAAAATAAAACCTTTTATCGACAAAATAAAATTCATCAAAGATTATTCATATTTTGATTGCAAAATTATTATGTCGAAAAATTTATGTAAAGGCCGAACAACTTGACCTTCCTTCTACTTAAATGATGTAATATCATCTTATCATTTTTGCATATCAATTTCCTAATTCCATTCATTTCGAAATGCAAAATAATTTTATAACATTAATAAGATTATCGATTTTTTATTTTATTAACAATCTATATTATGCATTTTAAATATAATTTCATATTATTAATAATAATAAATAAATAATGTGAAATAAATATTAACCAGATAAATACTATAATACTCGCTTAAAACCAAAGATGCTTACAAGTTCTACCTAACTAAAGAAAAAAAAATTATTAACGCCCAATAGCAAATTAAGATGATCACATAATAGTATAGAAGTTTTTACCAATCACTTGAGAGTTTTTAAAGGGATATATATTATATAATGTAGATGGCATTTTATTATAATTATTTTTAAAAAAATCTTTTTAATGATTATTTAATTAAAAAATAAATAAGACAAAAAAGGGGATAAAAAAACCAAAAAAAAATATTTTCCACTTTATTGATTTATATAATAAAAGTCATATTAATAATATTATATTATATAAAAAAAATAAATTAAAATTAAGCGTTTTTGATTTTTCTTGACTATTTTCTTCCTTTATTTTCGGATATAATTTTCGAAATTCGAGTATTAACATTTTTTTTATTTCGCGACAAACAAACAAAAAAAAAGGAAAGAAAATTCGATCTTTTGTCATTTTTATAACATTTTTTTTTTACGAAGAAAAAATTATTTTAATTTTGTTTTAAAAAATTATGGATTTTGTTGCTAAACAAGTACTTTCTAGTAAATTGGGAGGTGTTAAAGGTAAAAATAAATAAATTAAATATAATTCTCTTCCCTTCTCTTCTTTTCTCTCTCTTTTTTTTAATTTCTTTTAATTCTCTTCTCTTCTCTTCTCTTCTCTTCTCTTCTCTTCTCTTCTCTTCTCTTCTCTTCTCTTCTCTTCTCTTCTCTTCTCTTCTCTTCTCTTCTCTTCTCAATTTTTATTTTCTTTTTTGAAAATGGTGGGGGTTACTCAATTTTTTTTAAACATTCAAAGCCGATTCGAAATAATATTTTATCTTAGTAGCAATAAGAAATAGCAAGGGGAACTGAGAATCAATAGAAATGGGAGAAATGTTTGGATTTAAAAAATATACTTTTTTTCCTCTATAAATTTAAGCCCAATGATTTATAAAATGTCGTAAGTATTTTTTTTTTAAGACAACGACTTATCGTAATTTTTTTTCTCTCTTCTAACGATAAATCGGATATATACGTATATATAACTTACAAATTAAGATTTGCTTAAAAATTCTAAAATTGTTTGAAATTTGTAAGAGAGGCACTTTACACATGATGGAATATTTGCCTTTTAAAAATCGCAACCTTCAATCATTTAAAATTATGAGTCTTCTAATCCCCATGCGAGAATTCGGTATAAGCAGTTATTCCGGAAAAGCTTTAGCACTAGATTTGGCGATTCATTTATTAAATACGTTCATAATATTGCAATCAGCTGGGAGATGCCATTTTGTGGTCCGCAACGCGGTCTAAATGATATTTATCTTTATATATTGTATTATTTGTTAAATTTCTAAATGCTTATCATGAAAAAATGCTTAAATATCATTTAATCATAGACCCCAAAATGGCGTCTACAGGCTTATTCCTATTTATATAAACTGTTATAATTAATCATCAATTTATAGTATATATTAATATGTCATAAATTTGGACCATACACCATTCTTTGCTGATATTGTTGTATATTATACGTTTTTTTAACCAATCATTATAAATCTTTTAGGTCATGTCCTAGGTCGGCTTATTATTAAATAGCCAAAAAAACTAAAAAATCAAAAGATAAAAAAAAAAGACATTACCAAAAAAAACAAAAAAAACGAGAATAAAATACTAAATAATAACAATGCTACACCTAATATTTAAAACAAACCAAAATAGTGTGTCCTGGTTTAAAAACTTTTTAGCCTATAATAAAAGCAATTAAGTATCCAAATTAAACTGACCTAGGAAAACAGCCTTAGGACTTGAAATTAAAGACTAAGTTAAGGACATTTTTTTGTGGTCATTTAATTTTACCATAATTTAGTTAGTGTATTAGTTATATCTTAATACATTATTGATTACTAAAAATATGTCACCTTTGGACGTAATTTCATTTCCGTTTTTGACACGTGTTCTATTTAGTATGCAACTAACATAATAATTAATTATTCGTGAATCCATCTTTTTTTTGGAAATAGTTTCTTTTATAAAATAACACTCCTCTAGGAAAATTTAAAATAACACTCCTCTAGGAAATTTTTTTTTTTAAATGGACATATTAGATTTAAAACACTTTCTCAATATTCTTCTCAAGGTTTTATAAATTGCTTGAAACGTACCTCTTTATCAAAGAGTGACGATTTTGTTTTTGAGAAAGCTCAAGCAAGATTCTTTCAAAGTTATTTGAAGATTTCTAAACACCTTATCTTTCTTTTCACATATTATTATTTATTCTAAAAAGAATTGCATTGCTCAAAGTCGAAGGAAATACCTGTAATCATTTCCTTCTTAATAATAGAAAAAAAAATTGGCATATGAATTCTTCTTTTCTATGCAATTCTTGACTAATGTAATAAATTATAATTTCTAAGGTCGTGTCCCTGTTAGGCTTTTTACTAAATAACCGGCTATTTAGCTTCGACTAAACAGTCTAAATAAGTTTAAAAAAAAAGAGGAAAAATAACAGTGTCACCAAATACACTGTATAAAAGCTGTTTAGCCTAGGCCAAACAAGCATTAAATATCAAAACGAAGTCAACCCAGAACACCGCCTAAGGCATCGATGCCGTCTTTAAATCCCTTATCCCATAAAACTGGTTGAATCATCGTATCCAATAAATCATTTCCAAAACAAAACAACAAATCGATCTTTTTTCTGCGTAGGAGTTCATGGATAAAGACTTCAATAGAGGAAATATAAAAGAGAGGTTTTAGCGATAAAAGTGTGCATGTAATAAAAGTTTCGAGCTTATAATAAAAATTAGAGTATAGCAATAAAAAGTGTAGAATTAGGCTATAAAAATTGTTATATCATTTTTGTTAAATAATATAATATTATTCATGCGTAAGAATCATATTTTGTTAGATTACACGCTACAAATTTATAATTGAATTTTATATTATCTAATAAAAGCTCTAAATCTAAGGCAAAATTTGGTATTTTTTTATTTAAAAAAAAATATATTATAAATGATATCAAGGGAAATTATTTTATTATTTCTTAAATATGTTTAAAAAAGTTTTAATTTTTTTTTAAAAAATTGTTAAAAATGTTTCCGTCATAACGGGACAAATTTTAGCCAAAATCATATAAACTTAAATCTGGAGATTTTGCTCATTGATGGTAGAAAGGTTCGGACCTACATTTGCCAAATCTCTAGGTGGATTACATTATATTATCTTAGCTGAGATTATTTAATATGGAATAGACATTTAACTCTGAATCACCCCTTTTTTTAAAAAATCGACCCAAATAGTGCTTTTTAAGAAACACTATTGGAGACCTTTGATTAACAATTCTTTTTTTAAGGAAGTGTCCAAAATTATTTTAAAAAAAATTCGAAAAGTTACAAAACTTTTACAAATTTTAAAATTCTAAGGAAATCGTACGTGCTAAAAAAATTTTAAAATTATATTTTGGACATGTTTTTATAATTTTAAAATAGCTTCTTTATTTTCATTTAAAGTTTCGAAAGTTTGTGAATTTAATATTTTGATGTTTCGAACACAGCCTAAAATAAAATGCTGATCGGGGTAATTTAGTTCTAAATATATTTTTGGGATTCAAACCTGGTTGGTTTTAAACATGGTTGGTTTTAAACATGGTTGGGGTTTCAAAACATTGAAATTATTTTATTAGAATTCGAATATGGACCATATAAGGAGCCGAAAACCTGGGGTATTTTGGGTTCCCCCAAAAACCCAAAAATTCTGAACCCAAATCAGTTCTCCAAGCTAGGACCTAAAATAATTCGAACCTAAAAAAAAGAATTGGGTCAAACTAGGACCGAGAATGTTAAATTTTCAATGTTTCTTTCTTTCTTTCTTTCTTTCTTTCTTTCTTTCTTTCTTTCTTTCTTTCTTTCTTTCTTTCTTTCTTTCTTTCTATCTCTTTCGTTCGAAATAAAAAATCAAATAATATAACAAGATAAATTCCGCTTGCTTGACTCTTATAGAATTTTTGACATTTTATTACATTAATAAAAACTGATAATAATAAAAAAAATATCTAATTTTAAAATGACAAAATAATAAATAAATTAAAGTAAGAGATTCGTGATAAAATCTAAAGATTATATAATTTCCCTTAAAGCTTGTATACAAATGTGATTCATTTCATTAATATCGTTTTCATTTTATACCCTTTATTGATTTCAAAATTATTTTATTATTAATCATATTAGTTTTTTTTTTGATCTTCTGTGTATATAAAAAAACTGTAGGAAATTATTTGAAAGAATAAATTAATAATTTTGTTATTTTGCTCATACTTCACACCATCAAGATTTTCGGAATTTAATGTTTTTATATGATTTTAAAGGTATAATTTTTTATAATAAGCAAACGATGCTAATAATATCACGACATTTGTATTTCGTATAATGATTAAATTAAAAAAGGTGTAAATTATTAGAGCCGTGATAGGGTTTAGCAAGGATCATTGCAAACTACTCCTGACTATCAACATGCTTATACCATAAATTAGACTTTACTTTATATATTTTTTCTTATGCTAAATACTTTATTTGCGACACAAATTGGTCAATGCCAAATTAAAAATATAATATTGTTTTTTTTAAGGCACGCTTCTTTGTTCATAACATATTAGTGTTGTTAAACGGTAAAAACGGCTAACTCAATATTTTATCTAAAATAATATTACGCATACCTGAAGATTTTGCTCATAGGTGAGATGGCAGAAAGATCTAGACATCAGACATCAATTAGCTAAATCTTATTGGTTAACCCATTTATATCGTGGTGGTACAGCGTTTGTACCATGAAATCAAAGCCGTTGATAGCCATAGTGAATACAAAACGTGTTGCCACTTTTCTAAATAATATACTTTTTTAAAAAAATATTTTTTGGACCTTATAAATGTGTGTTCCTTTTATATACTATATATGTGTATATAGTTTATTATAATTTAATAAATAAATATAAATATTAAAATATCATTCTATTAACCATTTTTAGTCCATTGATGCACATGATTAAAAAGCAAGGTTAAACAGATTAAATTCAAAGATATCATGTAGAGTGAGTGTTGTGCAGATTTAATTCGAAACATTTTCATATTTTTTTTAAATTCGTTTGTAAATAAAATTATTTTAACTTGTAATAAAATAATTGATAAGAATTATATAAAATATGTTATTTTAACAATTTTTTTTGCAAGTTCAAAATAATTTTATTTTCAAATAAATTTTAAAAAATATATGGAAATGTTTTACATCAAATCTGGTCAACACTGTATATATGTTAGGTAACGAAAATCCATAATAAAACGAAGATCCATATTTATTCATAATTATATTTATCAGAAAATTACATATCTATTCATTAAAAAAATATACAGATTATAAATCATAATTATCCATCTTCATTCCCAAAGGTCCATTCTTTGTTTTTCCCAACTGACATCTTCTTACATTAATCCAATATCTTCACTCCAAATCTCCAACAAAGGACTTTTTCTTAACAACAACCCATGTGATAATTCCTTTCATCTTCTCCACCAAGGAAAACTTAATTC